AAAGAACCTTATAATACCACATGGAAAAGCTAGATAGATAGCAGATTCTTCTACATGTTGCTTTCCTTCTGCAAAATTTGTTAAGATGAAAAATTTGCTGTCCTGTATAACGTAAATTCCCTGAAATAATATTATAAATAAATAAATAATATTCAAGCTAAGATATTTTCATCTTAAAGAGATAAAATGATTAAAGCATAACCTGGTGATTTGTACGCAAATTATCCACCTGTCTGCTAAATATAGTAGTCCAAAATTCTTTACAAAGAAATTTCATCCTTTCCAATTCAGTGACCATCCTAAAAAGATCAAAATAGCAAATATTACAGTGCAGGAAGCTATTTCGTAAAGATATATTGCCTAACTCAACTAACCAGAAAAAAGAATAACAAACCTCGGTAAATCTTTAGCAATTTTTTCAACAAGCACAAAACCAACGCGATAGCCAAGAGCTTCCAAACGTGTCTCAGCATTTCCCTGCAATTCACAATCTGAATATAATCAATGTGCAAAAATATAATAGTGAGAGAAAATCTAATGCTCCATAAAAATTCCCGAATAACATATATTTTACAAGAATTCTCGAATAACATTTATGTTGTACAAGCACCTGAATGAAGACTTGTTTCACCGATTTCACTTGTTCATCCAACAATGACATTTCCATTTGCGGATTGTTCCGCATTTGCGCAATCCAACTCTTCCGTTTCTCAATTTGCTCCGCCTGTAATGAATAGTAAATGACCTCAATTAATACAAAATCATAAATGCGAATTTTATGTCACAAAAATTTAAGAGATATTAAAGAATATTCCACTTGAGCAAATACCCGACTTTAACTATCCCAACAGTTTTATTTCTCATTTTTTGATAACATCTTTTTAATTAGCTAATTTTTGAGAACATTTAAAATTTCACTGCAATCCTATTCACTAGTTCTGAAGTCATATAAAAGTTATTTTAATCTTATTTCGAAAATCATTACCATAGAAGAATTCTCAATGAGATGTAAAAGTTTATAAGTGCATCCTGAAAACTTACCTCTCGTTGTTTTTCATATTGTATTATTTCAGCATGCAAAAATTCAAATGGAAAATAAGGTAATGATATCAATGAATTCATCGAATTTATTGGCGTTTCTTTGCAAAAATCACAAAGTTACGATCATCACAAATTTCGTATTTAGTTAGTATTTGACCTGAAAACGATTGTTCTTTCATTCTTTAGCAGAAGTAAAACGATGAGGCCCAACAGATAAAGTATGCCATACAGCTTCAGAAATCTTAACTTTCAAATAATTGCCATTAAGATAATAGCTGTTTTATTTAGACTGAAAAGCCATATGATATATCCCGTCCAAACCTCAATGAAAAAACACTCTTTGCACCAAATATAACTGTTTGCTTACGGAATTTTACTTGGCCTACAGATGACTTTCATTATAAAGTATTCCTCTCAAAGAACAAATACTATGGACCAATAAATTACACAATCTTACTTCATAATACCGCTACTATGTTCCAGTTTTTTGCAAAATAATAGGAAACTTTGTCGAATATTATCAACTTCATTAATTTCCTTTAACACTCTTCTCATCGAACTATTTGAAATCTGTGTGCTTTACAGTAATTTAATGTATTAAGATTGACCTTACAATTGTTTTAACTTTTTTAGCATCTATGTTATTCTTGGAAAAAAATGCGGTAAATATGTAATGCTCATCGGGATATTTGGCCAAGTATAGGGAAAAATTCATTTACTTGGAGACTTTTATTGGGTAGACTTCTATATCAGATATTCCGATATACAATGGTACAATTACAAAAAACGGCTGCAACTGAGCATCTCATCTGTCTTGAAAGATCAAATCATCACAACTGTATAATCATACAAACCAAGCAGTAGCAAAGCGTCTGAGAGCTTCTAACTTTCTAATACAATATAAATCAAGCATCAGCAAAACATTTCAGAAACTTCAAACTACCTGCGTAATACAACAAATCTTATGCTAGTTACAATAAATTATCAAATAGAAAACATGCTTTTCTTTCTGATAATAAGTTTCGTGAATAAATCTCATCCCTTTTTTCTTTGAAAAGCAAAAAAAAAACTGTTTTAATTTAATTTAAACATTTTTTTCAATTTCCTACAAGTCCCATCTTCAAAAAACATTTATTTTCTCTACAGAACGAAATAATAAGATCACGTCTGTAAAGTTGTTCCTCAACAATTTCTTGTTTATGCTTTTCTTGGTTTCTTATGTAAATCAGGACGATCACAATTGTAACGGATCGGCATTCCTGAAATTCATTTACAATATTACAGCGCTTAGTATTAAGAATGAACATGAAAGCATAGAAAATGAAAATCTTATGATAAAAACGACAATTAAATTCTCAAAGTTGCAATAATATAATGATAGCAGTTGCACTTACTTTTGGTACGTGTTGAACGACGTGGCTTCATCGCTGATCGAAGTATCATGGACGACGCATTGGTATTAATAGGAGAGGGCACAAACCTTTTAACATGTGATTCGCGCAATCCTAAACGTGCCGTAGTTTTTGGAAAAAATGAAGGACTACCAGTATCTGGCACAGATCTTCTATCGACCTTCTTTTTTCTAGGAGCCATGGGTGGCGGCAGAGGTCTAGATGGTGGCGTAACAAAGCCTATGATTGTTGCCATATGTGCAGCCCCGGTAGTCATACCACGTTCATTTGCGTTCCGCTCGCTAAAAATCAAATTCCACTTTTTTTAAATTTTTTTATTATTCTTATAACAAAAATAAACTACAGTTTCTTGGCTGCGTTTTTTTTAAAAAAAGATCAATTAATAACTGATTATCTATTTAATAGAAGTTAAAATACATATTACTAAAGAAAAAGTGATGACCCTTAATGTCTAGAAGAATACTTGTGCTACATTCACACAACATACGGAAATTTTAATTTTATAAGATGCGGAAATGATAACAAACTTGTTGAGATTTTCGTTCGAATTCCCATGTCCCGAGTCACTATGAATTTCAGAAAGCGGAGATGGCGTTCGCGGTGGGGTACCATTTGGTCCAAAAGGATTTATTTCTGGCAAATCTTCCAAAGGTACTGAAAAAAGATTATTCAGCACTAAAAAATCGGGAATAACAAGAACTGATATTCGAATAATGAATATCCAAAACTCATTTAAACAATTAGCTGACCGACATCCACTGCTTCCTCCATTGCTATTGTTCTAGCCCGGCGTCGCATTTGCGAGCGTCTGGGTGTTGCCCGAATAGGAGACAAGTCAGGCAAACGAAACGGTGAGCGTAATAAAGCAGATGAAGAGCTGGATGGTCTATGCTCCCTTTCCTGCTCGTTACGCGTGGACCGTGAAAAAATTCGAACAATGTTTTGCCTAAAAAAATATTCCATCCTTACTACTCTTGAGTACTTCAGTCTCTATTCAAAAAAAAAAGCTCCAAACCTAGTTCTCACTTGCACATATTTTCAAACCTATTAAAAGAAACACTGTTAATATCTCTCGATTTGCCAAAATTTGAAAAGATGAACAAGATTCAACAATAATATTCTTTCTTACGTGTTAGCGGATTGCGGATTCCGACGAATGGGAGTACTCGCCCTGACATTATGAAGTGGTCCGGAAATTGGAGAAATATTCTCCTTATTTTCATCTTCATTATTATTTGGTTCATCAGATGAAAGACTGAAATCACAGATGTTATTATATGATCTGAAGGCATTCAGTAATATCAAAATTCAAGTTACTAAAGCAGATCATCTAATCTCATGCAAATTATGATAATCTTCAAAGAAATCATTTTCTTTTATTCTCAAAAAAGAAACAAGAAAGATATACTTCATGAGATACATGCGATGCAGTATATGCTCAGTCGCTGAAATATAACTCGATTGATCCGACGGATCCGCACCAGTCATACGGTCCACCGGTACATTGATCCCAACGTCAATACCACTGTCGTAACTCACAGATCTAAAAATAAAAGAGATAATCCGAATATGTAATTAAACCAAATAATGCAATGACACATTTTTCTGCCTTATTATGTTTTTTTTAATCTGAATTATGTGGACATAGATTCTATAAACTATCTTGAAGAAGTCAGTTGGTATAATGATAGGTGGATAAATTCAATTTGATAGTTTTACTTACGTATTCGGACGTATTACATGATCAGTGATTTGTTGACTTCCCATCCACATATCGCTTCCATTATTCGCTGAATTCGCCAAATCTCTCACTTGATTCATCCTCACTTGTCACTGTTGAATATCTTCAACAACGCAATATCTGCAAAAAAATGATGTTCTTAAGTAAGAGATTGATGATAAAATGATGTAAATACTGATGAGATCGAAAAAAGTATCATTTTCTTTTTTGTAAACTATGCATTACGCGCATAAATGTGTGGATTACGCGCATAAACATCACACACAGATACTTTGTTTTGTTGTAATCTGAAGAAGAAAAAAATAAATGTTGCAGTGTATATTCGTTGTTTGGCTGTTTAGGATTGTAATTGATTATTCGTCATATGTGCTTTTTTTCCAGGGAAGCATTTACTAATAATAGTCTCTCACTGTCTGCAACTACCTTTGACCTTTCTATCCGCATTCGCGCGCATAGCTGATACATATGCAACGGTAAACAACAATACTGTAAATGCGAAAGAATGCACAGAAGCAATAGAATTAGAGATGATAAGATTTATAGGTACTACAGTGTAACTTAAATGATGAATAGCGCGGGCTATGCCGGGAAATTCAAAAATAATCAAAAGGTCAACTAGATAATATGGAACCAAAATGTCCACTACAAACGCGAACATCCATGAGAACCAATACTTTACGGTCAACACAACAATCATAAGTGAAATTTACTACTCAAACATCATCTATAGCAATTAAGATAAATTGTAAATGTCAATATTAACTATCTTGAGATATTCAATACTGATGAGATTATGTGCAAAAAAAAGCAAATGAAAAGGATTGAGATACTAAGAAAAGAAAAAAAATCTGAACCAGTTACATTCATGTTTTTTCCTAGAATCTTCACTTCAAATTTTATGATTTTCCAACACTATTGCTGTCAAGGAATTTCTTTTAATTCTTATAAAAATATGAAATGATAATGAAGAGACTAATGTAAGCTAGTAATTCCCTTCCTTTCTTTTTCTTTTCAAAAAAGAACACATATATCTGGATTTCTATTTTTTACCATTCCTTCATATTCACATACATACTCTCTCCTAAATCAATTTTCTTAATCATCTAATCATCTAATTATCTTTTATTGCTAGCTAGTTGATTAACCACTTCTCACTTTTTTTTTATTGTACAGCTTACATTAATCTCAGATAAAAATATCGCTAATAAATATCATCAAAAAAAAAAATTCTTTCTTAACATTATGCTGTATCTCATTGCTTACCGGTAGCTTCTTTTTTAAGATTTAATCCTATGTAAAACTGTAACACACTGATTACAACAGCATTAATAATTTGACATTTTCACCGAAAGCTAAATGATAACTTGAAATTAAGAGATAAATATTTCTATCCTCATATTATTTGATTATAACTAGGAAAATTAAGAATTTCTTAGGAAAGACAATGTAAGATAAATGGATGATACGTAACAAGTTACTTACCGACTATTTCCCTCCTCCTCAATACTACATAACTGAAAAACAAATAATCAGACTGATGGGGGAGGAGGAAAGAAATGAAAAAAAGGGAGGGAAGCGGAATGTACGATTTTCACTCCCATCCACAACGGATGACCAGATAGGATCTTTCCTGGCTAAAGCGTAAACAATGTATTCCCTCCATCTGCTATATGCTATTGCGTAATTATTCCTTCATTCCCTCTAGCAAAGATGGAACAGCGAAAATAAGGCGGACAAGCAACAGAAAAAGCGATCAACAGTTTTCAAATCACAAGTTACAAAAACCAACCGCTTGCTAATAATATCTCTAATTACTAAAACTAAATCGTTATAAAAATGGTTCGGTAGAATGAAAATAACATGAAATAGAGTATAAATTAATTTCAAATCAAGTGTTATCAGAATTAAGAAAACTGCTGTAATCCCGAAAAAAATAAAGTATAATTTTTCCTCTATTTGCTCATATAAATCACTTTGAACATACACGCAATTTTTTAATATATTCACAGTTACCTCCATCGCTCATTTACTTTTATACAAATATATAAAACTATTTACAAAAGGCCTCAAATAACTTTTGTATAATGTTAAAATATAGATACTATAAACAAAAAACCAGACGAAGTTGAAAAATGAAATTATACAACTATTCTCATTGTTTTTATTAAAGTAGTTTGGAAAATCGCCCTTACAAGTAGTAGTTCATAGTTTTGGACAGCAGCCTTCTCCGACATATGTTTTAAGATCGATTAGAAGGCTAGTGATAAGAGTCAGTTGATCTCTTGTTCTTTTTGAGTTTCGGACTTGACATAGGTGATGATATCATCATTGCAAGCAGAGCTTCATCACTTAATTCATCCTCATTTGCGGCAATTCTTTGCGCTGAATTCGATTTCTGGATCGGACTACTAAAACACTTCAGTGATTTCATTTCCTCATAAAATGAATAGAGAACAGAAAGTTTTACAGCAAAACAGCAAGATATAAAATGAAACTTCTAGAAAAAAGATTAAAAATCAAGACATACCAACTATTCTCATATGAAAATCAATTTAGATTACTAAAACAGACTACTAAAACAAACTTCAATAACTATGTTTCACTCATACTAACTCCTTAAACTCTATTTTAACGGAAATATGAAACAAACCATATCGGTTTAAATAAACCAAACTGAATGCTGCCTACCTTTCAAACGCCAATCTAAGGAGTTCATTATCGCTCTCATCATCCTCGTGATATACTGATGTTTGTTGCTTTGACTCTGATGATGTAATTTGTTTTTCGCGCTCTCCAATGATATTGCTGCAAAAATTTTCGTTTATTTCGTTACTGAATTATTTTCGAATCAGTTGGAAGAAATAGTTGAAATTTTTGCCTGCACAAATTACAGATTTTTTAAGAAACCAAACATGGCCTTTTCTAGAATTATCAGAAGAGAATAAAAAGCTACTAAAAATAATTCCCAAACAAAATAAAAAATTACTAAAAAAAATTATCATCTTCACTTTTCCACTATATTCTATCTTTTAACTCTGGATTTAACTTTTTTGGTTCGCAGATTCGCTTTGATGAAAACCCACTCAAAACTGAATGGAAATAGTGGGGTAGGAAAAGCCTTAAATTGTTCATAAACTGACAGAACCAAGACAATTTCAATGGTTCTCTAATTGCGCTTACCAGCTTGTTCTCGTTGTGGATGAGAACGAATCAGATTTCAACTTCCTTTCCAACTTTTTGTTATCAGATACACCGTTCTCCATTCTTGCTATCATCTGTTCCTGGAAGAAGCATTACTCTTTCATTCATTTTAAATTAACTTTTATTCCATTAAAACAATGTTTTTCACTCTTAGTTTTTTGTCTCCATTCTTCATTCTCAATATCATTATTTCTTTCTGCTTGCATCCTTGGTTCTCCAACCTTCATATTTTATTATAATGTGCTTTTCTCTACTCAAGGATTTAGCTATTTTAAGTACGCAGTGTTTAATTTACTCCAAATGCTCTGAACATTCCATGATTATCAGGTTTCTGACTGCCAGAGATGGCTACAACATAGCATTCTAAATGGATCTAAATTGCAGGAAATCTTCAAATAATGCTTAACATCTAAAAAAGCTCAGATAAACAGCATAATATTATACTAAGCGAAAACATACTAAAGAGAGCACCACTTACTTTACAAGGTTTTTCCTGAAACGATGAAACTTCACTCAAAGCATTACATGGCAAATGTTCTGGAAATACTACAGAATTGGAAGGGCTTTGGTGTTGTGTTTGGGAAAACATCACTTTTCTTTGCTTTTCTTTCTTGATTCTATCTGAAAAGCAATTGTAATTGTAGGATCATCGGCACCGAGACCAATTTCGATAACCAACTTCGAAATGATGTTCACAATGTGCTAGCTGTTCGAAAAGTCGAATCTAGATACATCTTACCGATGACAATAAAACATCAGCATGTAAAAATAAATTCATTAAAATTTGAAATCAATGAATTCTGATCTGCTTTATTCTTGACTGAGATCATACCTTAGACTACATTGAATTTCATAAGAATCAAATCGAAATTTTATCTAATCGCATTTTCATGCACTACTCAAATTTAAAGATATGGAAAGTCTAATATCTTGCAACATACATATAATGTTTGAAACTTTAATAAGACATACAAATATAGTTAATATATCTCTAATTATCAAGACTTGGTGACACTGTAAATACGAAATCTATATTTGAGACTTTATTTGTTACGGAGACAGGCTAAGTTCATTTACATAATCACCTGAATAACTAATAAAGTTGTTATCAAGAACATAACTAATGGGAAAAAAAAATCAAAAAGGACTTCACAAAATGATATTACCGATAGTTTTTCTAGTTTCTTTGAGAGATCTTTCGTAACGAGTGATATTAGCTAGACGTTCTGCTTTTTTACGTGCTTCTTCTTCTGCCAGTGTTTTTTGGTCCTGCTTTGGTTTTTGCAATTGTTCCAAGATCATCTTCGGAGAAACGCGTGCAAACCCTCTATATATTTCTAGATTGCACGGTGGTGACGACGAGGTCAACTGCAAAACAAAAAATGATATCAAGGTATTTCAAAGCATGGATTTTTTTTAAAAAATACTGATTAATGGATGAATACTCCATTAGTCAAAATACTCTTCGAGTACCTAAACGAAGCTAGAAGAAGATAACATGTTACATCGCAAACAATTTAGAACTATTTTGGGAATTTTTCTCAAAATATCAGATATTATTCACATTCACTAGCTATATACATCCATCATTATTTTGTATCTTATCATGTCTGAAAAATTTCGTATAATCCTATGTCCATTAATAAATACTACTTGCTTACCGTCTTAACCCATCAAATTATCATTAGCTCACAATATTCGTTACTTTATGAAGCTGATTTGTTTATTTCTATTTCTTTTCCTATTTACCATGACCTCGAAATTACCTCACATGTAAAAATTTAGAACTATATATTTTCAGGATCAAATTTACGAAATAAAACTTACAGATGCCTTAGCAGCACGAATAGTTTCATTGTCAAGGCCTTGATTCCTAATCCATGGGAAGTATTCGTCTGCTTTTTCTTCAAACCAATCATCAAATATCTTCTTCTCTGTAAATAAAGTGTTGTAATAAGCTTGCAGAAAAGCAATTTTATATTCTAACAATTCAATTCCTCTGTTAAAATATACTCAATAAACGGAAAACACATTACAAACTGTCAAGAACATTCATTTCTTAATTAATATTAATAACATAATCCACCTATCAATATAATAAAAGCAAACATGTGTAGTATATAATATTTATCAACAACTCACATCACAAGACTAACTTTCAATTTATACGATCTCTTCTTAATCTAATTTTCGCTGTTTTCTGCAATCTTTACTATATTTTTCATACAAAAATCACCTTCATCGGGTGGATTTGCTCGTCGTCGCTTATTTATCGGTGACTGCTGCCATGAATAACTGTACAAAGCTCTTCTGCTTCCTTCCATTACTTCCAAATTCTGCTAATAGCCCAGAGAAGCATTAACGAAAACTAAAAAATTGAACATAAAATTGAACAATAAATTGAATATAAAACTTCCACCATACAACAATCATGAAAATTACCAATCAATCTATAGATGCACTACTAAATCTCAATCATTAAAATGAAGCAATAATTTAGATAAGACAATGGATCAGATTATAAATGTTAAGTTACAAGTTACATATTACTAGTCTAATCCATCCAACAATTTGCACTAATTGCTTACACACATCTTATTTCATTTCATTCAGTCCTATAATCACGGACATATTTAAGCAGCCTAGCATCGTATTCACATAGCCTAACGTACGTATCTAAATAGTCTAAGCAGTCTAAATAGCAAAACGTTCAAAGAATCTTTATAATCAAACATTCACACTTCATTAAAAATGACATTTGCCTGATAATTTAGTATTATATATTAATAGCATTTACGCATATGCATAGTATAACGTAAGATTTCAATATTATCAAAATACAGATATACGTAATGCCACGTAAAACTTCAATATTATCGGAATATGCATATGATATACTACCTAAAACTTAGATATTATCGAATATGCGTATAGGTGATATCAATAAGATCTCAATATTATCGAAATAATATATGCGTGATACCACGAAAATCTCCATATTATCGAATTATGATATATTACGTAAAACTTTGATATTATCGAATATGCATATAGATGATATTAGTAAGATTTCAATATTATCGAAATACACATATGCGTGATGCCATGTAAGATCTCAATATTATCGAAATTTGCATATGATATATTAGGTAAAACCTCGATATTATCGAAAAGATTTGCTTGAAAAGAGAAAGAATAATGATAACCTATCTCATCTTTCCCGAATATCCCGTTCCATCTTCCCGAGATACCCCGCAACACTAACCGAACAGATAGATGAATGAAGAAAAGTTTTCAGGGCAAAATCACGTAAACTCGCGCGAATTTAAAAAGAGAACATTTAGATGTCACGTTCCATGTTCATTTGTCCCTTTGTTTTTTTGTTTTTTTTTTCCATGCTTATCTGTTTACGTTTCACGTCTCTACGCGTATTCCAACGTGTTTTCAAAAACCATCTTACCTCCCATACAACATCAACACTTCTTCAATGCATCAGCTATTGCTCATTGCATCACTATGGCAAATACCGGTATGACCTTTGAACCGAATACGATGTCTCATTGCGGGCGGAAAAAGGATAACAGATTGATGGAGCATATTACCGTTGTAACAGATTGTCAAAATTCTAATTTCGCTTATCTTCAATTTATTTTTTTTTGTTGAAGAATTTTGCTAATATTGTTTTTTTTTTAAAAAAATTCTTTTTTAGAAATTCAAAAAAAAAAACAGTTCGAACTTGAATTTTAATTGACTTGAATTGGTTCCCAATTGCTTCTGCGTTTTTAGAATATCCTAATAAGACATAATTTCTATTGTTGATTACTTTATAAACATAAAATTCAAAACAAGCAATTCATTTAACTAGTAAACATGAAAACATGCCCATAAGGTTTATTGGTCTGATAAGAACAAAAGTTGGGCTCATTTTTTTTACCAACAATAATGATAATAAAGGAAGATGAAAAAGGAATGAGGATATAAGTTTCAGGAGAGTGTTGTTTATGAATTTCTTCAAATACTAATAGTGATTAAATTATCATCACAGATAATTATGACATGTATGTGTGTGCGCGTACATTATCATATCAGCAATTTGCTAATTGATGGTATAGCATTCAATTTTTTAAAGATACATTATTGATCTTTGAAGAAATTTCTAAAGGAAAAAAGAATGCTTTATGCAAAAATTATCATTTTGTCACTAACAGAAATATCAAGATTTGTTATTATTACTTCTATCGTACAAAAAAGAAAAAGAAAGAAATCATTTTTCATTTCTTTGTTAAACGGTTTCTTGTAATGAAATATTTTAGAAATGGTCCTGGATCCAGTTGACTTACATCTTCCGGCATTGGCTTATCTTTAGTTTCAGGTAAAGTAATAGTCAGTGCTGCTGCAGCAAATGATAAGCCAGCTAGGATGAATTGTGGTACTTTATCGTCATCTAAATCCTATAAAGAAAAGAAATTTCAATTTACTCAGAGCAAGAAATTAAATTGACATTTCACATTTACAAACTTATTTAGCAAAATTGAAATTTTCAAGTAAAGATTACTTTTGAAGTAGAAGTATTCTCAATAGGCAAGCTTTGAACATTTTGCATTTTTTTTCTCTTCTTTTGCTATTTAAATTGATTGTAAAATTTTTGCGGTATCTTTTTTTTTTCTTCTGAAGTTTAAATTGTAATTTCGGGAATGGAATTCCTTTTTTTTTTTCCTTTCGCAGCTTACCGTATATTTCAGTAATGGTGAGAACATAATCCCAATGCTTTGAGGTATATTAATTATTGAATAGCTAATTGTTCGAATAGTTGTCGGCATCATTTCATTTGCTAATAAAGGATGGGTTGCAAAAATTATATCATTGACCATTCTTCCGAATAAGTTACATGATATTCGAGCCCATTGAATTCCTGAAATTTGCAAAATTCTCTTCTTCCTTGTTATTTGATTAGAGTTTAAAATTAGAATTTGAATTGAGTTTTAAATATGATAATGAAGTTTTTTTTTTGCCAGGAAATATCTGCAAATGAATTTTATGATAAATGTATCAGAGACTTAGAAAAAAAAAACTCATAAAATTGTTATATAATATCGGGTAAAAATTATTTGAATTTTATAACTAATTGCAATAATTTAGACTGGGAGTTGTATATGATTGAATTGAATTTAGTGAATTTAAATTAACGCTTCTAATTAACTTTTAAATAGTCGATACAAAATCAGCTTAATTGATCGTTTTAGTTTTTTAAAAGATAAAATTTAATTTAGAAAATTTTAAAATGTTTAATACCGCGAAGAAATGGTGTGATAAATGCAGCAGTAGCTTGCAAGAAAAATGATGCACATGCAACAGAACGACGACCGAAGAAATGCAGCAATGGGATTACAATAATACAACCCGGCACTTCTGATAAACCGGATAGGACATAACCCGTGAATGCATCCGCGGTTAAATTGATACTATCAAATGAAATAACAAAATAGCAAAAATTCATTGTCATCCTAAAAAAAAAAAAAGAGAGAGAAAAATATACATAAAAATAATGAAGATTTAAGAAAAAAAAAAGAATTATTCAATCTTATTATTTTAATTAAATCACATAGAAAGGTATTTAATTTAAACTAAAAAAAAATTTCAATTTCTTCTTAGTTTTGATTTCAATCTAATTCATTCGCCGGTATATGTTTTGAAAATAACCTTTTTGCATTTCATCTTTCTCGAAGTTATACAATAAAAAAGGGTAAGTAATAATTTCAGCTCTCGTTTTTGCATTCTTTTATTTCACCCATCTTTCATAATTTTTTTTTAAAATTTCTTAGCATCAGATTAGTAGTTATTGCTTACGTGATATAGCCGTTGACACATAGAAAATATACAATTCGTTTGTACTTAAATAAATTACACACAGTTCCCTGGTTAAATTCATTTGCAGCTGTCTTGTGAATATTTTCCGATTGACATTTATTCAAATCAATTTCAACATTATTGAACCTAAAAGCATACATTGGCTGTTAGTAAGAAAAGTGTTAGTAAGAAAAAAAAAATTTTTTTTTTTACGGTCAAAAAAAAGACATTTGCAACTTTAAAAAAAAAAAAAAAAAACTGTTCGCAAAGATTTTTCAGCCATAATTTTTGCAATATATATTAAGTAGTAAAATTTTTCCATTTGTGATGAGGGATTTTAATTTTTTTTCCATTTACTTAAATTAAGTAATCTTAAATTATGATGGAATGGTGAAAATTTTGATTTTTTTTTTCATTTACAAAAATTATACGATAAGTTTATACCATGAGGATATTTTAATATATTGCTGAATACCACGTATCCGCCGGCGTGCGAGCATCCAATGCGGCGATTCGGGAAGTAACCTGAAATTAGCATTTTAATTTTTTTTTCTTTTCTCATTGAATCTTTCCTCCAACAATAGAGTTCCGCAATTAAAAATCCTTTTAAATAATTAAAAATCAGCGGTTCATTTGAAAGGTACGAGCATTTTTATCTTTACAACAAGAAACGGATAATTATTCCAATAGAAAATTTATTCAAATATTTATTTTAGAGTAAACCGAGAATTTTTTTTTCGAAGGAGATATTTTAATAATTAGAATGAGATGAAAAGAAAAAAGATTTTGAACATCTTTATTTTTAACTTTTTTTTAAGGAAGCCTGTAGGCTTAAATTTGAACGATATGATTATAGTTCCTACCAATAATATGCAATAGTTAATACACTTGGGAGTGCTGATGCAAAGTATAATTTCCTCCAGTCTTTAATGAATAATTCGAGAGCACCCACATAGAAATATCCGAGTAGCCAAGATGTTACTCCAAATAAATTTATCCATTCACGAAATGACCCGGCCACTGTTTCACAGCAAAGAATTGAGCCAATTGTTAAGTAGGACTAAAAAAAATTGCTTTCAATAAGTAATTTTAGTCTCCATAGTATCATTAGTTTTTTGACTACTTTTAAATAGCAATAATTTTGTCCAAGCTAATTTCAATTTACAATTCTACCATAAAGATTTCTCGTGATAAGCACTATATTAGATTTGTTAAGATAAAATTATGTGAAAATTTCACATTTAGCAACCGTCCTATCTTTGGGCCTAATGTTTCTTGCTCAAAATTTGGCGATTCGTTGAATCCTTAAATGAAGTTCAAATAAATCTCACAAAATAATGATAAGCGATAAAAGGATGATAGGATATTTTAAGTTTCTGCTTTAATTTGAAATCTAAATTTAAAGTAGAACAAGCTCTAGTATGATTTGAAATTAAAATGTGAGTGGATAATTAATTTAACTTATGCAAAAAAAAAATTAATTTTCAACTTTTGTGTGAAGCAAAAAAAAAATTAATGTGAAATGATGATTAAATTTAACTTATATGAAGTAGAAAAAAATTAATTTCCGACTCTATTATGACTTGAAATTTAAATACGAAATGCTGATAAATTTAATTTGTTCTTGTAATTATTCGCAAAATTCATTTTATAAAAAATGAACTACATCAGCTGCTGCTCCTACGAGAAATCGTAATAGCACAAAGATTGCATAATTAGGTGAAAATGCTATGATAAAATTGAGTATAACACTTGAATAAATTGAAATTAAAAGGATGCGCCGACGACCATATTGATCAGATAAATGTGATGCTATTGGTACAGCAAGAAGAGCACCTGAAAATAAACAATCTGAAATATAATTTGGAAATTTTTATGAGAAATTGATGAAAATAATTAAAAACACTAAATAATTATCGCCAAAAATCAATAATATGTATTGTAAATTAAATTACTAACACATTATTCGATATTCAAATTAGTATGTAAATAATAAATTAATCGAAAATAAACAATAAAAATTAACTTATTTATCTAGTAATTTTAATTTTTTTTTTCTTTGGGGAAAAAAAAACACATAATAGAGTACGGAGAAAATTACCAGCGGAAAAAATTGAAAATCCAGCTTCTTGTATGAATGGATTGACACATAATAATTCGTACTGCAAGAAATATTTACTTTTTTT